CCCCAGTGCTGGGATTAAAGGCGTGCACCACCAACGCCCGGCCAAACTGAACTGTTTTAAGAGTAACAAAACACAATGCTGGGTAAGTACATTACAAAAAGGATAGGTTTGAGCTGATGAATGTGTTTATTATCTTGATTATGGTAATGAAAATGTGTTTCCCCAGTTTATAAAAGTCTTAAAATTGTATCCTCAAGTATGTAGTTTATTATATGTACATATTCCAATAAAGCTGGTTTTAAAATTTAGTATCAACTAATAACTTGTCTGTTTTTATATTTAGAATGTGTTTTTCTAAGAGGTAATAATTGGCTGTCAAATGGTGTTGATATGTCAAAGTACAATGAGAATTCAGAATTGACCACAGGAAATATACAGTGATTATTCTACATTTGAAAATTGAACTCCCAAAATGCTTCAAAATTCAAGGCATTTGAGTACCATAGAATTGGAAATTTCACACTGACATCTTGTAACAGGTCCAAGTTAAAACACAGGCACATTAATAATAATACACAAATTATTTTACAGGACCTGTGTACAAAGATTATAAAAACCTTAAGTTACTTTCGTGGGTGTACCAGAGTCCTATCCACATGATTTCTCATTGTACTTCTGCAAATATTCCAATATCTGAGAAACAAAACAGTAACTAGGTGCCATTAACTAGAATGCCATTCATAGGGTGGTTTGATTAAAAGTGGATTTGTAGTTTGTTCATGCCTGTCCTTTTGGACTATGAAGGTAGGGGGGGGTCAGAAGTTCAAGGTTCTTGGCTACTTAATGAGTTCAAGGTCAGCCTGGGCTACCAGAAACACTGTCTCAAAAGAAAAAAGTTATAATCTCTGTGGGTTCAAGAGAAAATGGTAACTAGGAAGTGGAAAACAGGGAAACAGGATGGAGAACTTTTTGAAAGAGTTGGGAATGGAGATTAAAATGGGATTTAAAATCAAGGGGAAGTGTGTTGAATTTTTTTCAGTACTGAGATAAACATAGATCTCAGAAGTACTTTACCACTGAGTCACATATTGGCCCAAGGTTGTTTTCAGAAGGAAAAAAAAAATTAGCTGGAACCTTGTAATCTCATCTCTGGAGGCAGAGATAGGAGGACTAGGAAGATATTCAAGTACAGCTTGGGCTACAAAGTAGGATCCTGTCTCCAAAAGATTAAAAAAATTACATGATGCTTTTTAATAAAGGTAGCAGTTTGTTTTTAATTTGATCAAATGATTTGACAGAAAGGAGAAAATGATACTGTGTCAAATACAGTGATGACTTGTAGGAGTGATATGTGTTTGTCCTTGTAATTGGTCAAAATAATCAGGTTGTGGGCATATAAATTAATTTCAAATCTGTTTGTATATTTTGTTGTTTGAGACTGGGCCTCAGGTCTATCCTAGTTGGCCTTGAACTGAAACTTAGCAACTCTGTGGCTGAGACTGACTTTGAATATCTTTCTGGTCTGCCTGCCTCTGCGTCCTGAGTACTGGGACTATAGACATGTGCTACCATACCTATCTTAAAAATGATTATTCATTATCTATTTAAAAACTATGGGGTCTTTAGACAATATCCTCACCGAGAACTGTTTGGGTTTTTTTTTTGGGGGGGAGGGAGGTTAGGTTTTTCTTCAAGACAGTATTTCCTATGTAGCTTTGGAGCCTGTCCTGGAACTCACTTTGTAGACCAGGCTGGCCTCGAACTCTCAGAAATCTGCCTGCCTCTGCCTCCTGAGTGCTGGGAAAGGCGTGTCCCACCACCACCAGGCTGAGAGCTGTATTTTCTTATGTGTAGTAATTATTATAGTTTTCAGCTTGTCTGTAATTAGTATTTGTTATGTGTTTGTTTAGAAGATCATTGAATTAATTGATAAATTTATTATTAATATTATTCCATATAATTTATAGTACCTATGTCTCTGTAAAAGATTTCTATAATAATGTGCCAGTCACCTTTGCCATATTAACTAATCAATTTATTCATTAATTCATTTTGAGGTTCTTGAAACAGTGCCTTGTGCATGAGGCTCTACCCCTGACTTACATTCTTAGTCTACAACTGACCTTTAGACAAACTACTACTTCCATTACTAAGATGAAATGTATGCAAAGTTTGAAATA